GAGCGGCACAGCTGCCATGCCGTGTGCGCGCAGCAGGTCGCCAAACGCCAGGAACTCCGCCTCCTCTGGTGTGATGGGGGGGGTGGGAATGGAGATTTCTCAGCAAGTTGCAGGGTGCCTTTGGGACATCTCAACAACGTCCTGTGGTGCGCGCAGCAGGTCACCAAACGCCAGGAACTCTGCCATACAAGGGGCGGGCATGGGTGATGGGGGCATGTGGATGGGGATGGGTGATGGGATGGGATGGTGAGGAGAGGGAGCATGTGGAAAGAACATATAGGTGAAGGGCAAGGACACAGGTAGGGACAAGCAATAGGGTAGGTGAATAACAGCAGGTGAATCGTGATTGTACAGTTCTTTGTAAGAATCAAAGTGGACCTCCACCCCTCCTGCCTTGAGAAGTGCGAAGAGTTACAAGGCGACAATGCAGCCTGCACAACCTAAGTGGTTCTTGAGGCGCTTTTGAGTCGACTCAAAAGGTGGTTCTTGAGGCGCTTTTGAGTCGACTCAAAAGGTGGTTCTTGAGGCGCTTTTGAGTCGACTCAAAAGGTGGTTCTTGAGGCGCTTTTGAGTCGACTCAAAAGGTGGTTCTTGAGGCGCTTTTGAGTCGACTCAAAAGGTGGTTCTTGAGGCGCTTTTGAGTCGACTCAAAAGGTGGTTCTTGAGGAGCTTTTGAGTCGACTCAAAAGGTAGTTCTTGAGGCGCTTTTGAGTCGACTCAAAAGGTGGTTCTTGAGGCGCTTTTGAGTCGACTCAAAAGGTGGTTCTTGAGGCGCTTTTGAGTCGACTCAAAAGGTGGTTCTTGAGGCGCTTTTGAGTCGACTCAAAAGGTGGTTCTTGAGGCGCTTTTGAGTCGACTCAAAAGGTGGTTCTTGAGGCGCTTTTGAGTCGACTCAAAAGGTGGTTCTTGAGGCGCTTTTGAGTCGACTCAAAAGGTGGTTCTTGAGGCGCTTTTGAGTCGACTCAAAAGGTGGTTCTTGAGGCGCTTTTCAGTCGACTCAAAAGGTGGTTCTTGAGGCGCTTTTCAGGCGACTCAAAAGGTGGTTCTTGAGGCGCTTTTCAGTCGACTCAAAAGGTGGTTCTTGAGGCGCTTTTCAGTCGACTCAAAAGGTGGTTCTTGAGGCGCTTTTGAGTCGACTCAAAAGGTGGTTCTTGAGGCGCTTTTGAGTCGACTCAAAAGGTGGTTCTTGAGGCGCTTTTGAGTCGACTCAAAAGGTGGTTCTTGAGGCGCTTTTGAGTCGACTCAAAAGGTGGTTCTTGAGGCGCTTTTGAGTCGACTCAAAAGGCGGTTCTTGAGGCGCTTTTGAGTCGACTCAAAAGGCGGTTCTTGAGGCGCTTTTGAGTCGACTCAAAAGGCGGTTCTTGAGGCGCTTTTGAGTCGACTCAAAAGGTGGTTCTTGAGGCGCTTTTGAGTCGACTCAAAAGGCGGTTCTTGAGGCGCTTTTGAGTCGACTCAAAAGGCGGTTCTTGAGGCGCTTTTGAGTCGACTCAAAAGGCGGTTCTTGAGGCGCTTTTGAGTCGACTCAAAAGGCGGTTCTTGAGGCGCTTTTGAGTCGACTCAAAAGGCGGTTCTTGAGGCGCTTTTGAGTCGACTCAAAAGGTGGTTCTTGAGGCGCTTTTGAGTCGACTCAAAAGGTGGTTCTTGAGGCGCTTTTGAGTCGACTCAAAAGGTGGTTCTTGAGGCGCTTTTGAGTCGACTCAAAAGGTGGTTCTTGAGGCGCTTTTGAGTCGACTCAAAAGGTGGTTCTTGAGGCGCTTTTGAGTCGACTCAAAAGGTGGTTCTTGAGGCGCTTTTGAGTCGACTCAAAAGGTGGTTCTTGAGGCGCTTTTGAGTCGACTCAAAAGGTGGTTCTTGAGGCGCTTTTGAGTCGACTCAAAAGGTGGTTCTTGAGGCGCTTTTGAGTCGACTCAAAAGGTGGTTCTTGAGGCGCTTTTGAGTCGACTCAAAAGGTGGTTCTTGAGGCGCTTTTGAGTCGACTCAAAAGGTGGTTCTTGAGGCGCTTTTGAGTCGACTCAAAAGGTGGTTCTTGAGGCGCTTTTGAGTCGACTCAAAAGGTGGTTCTTGAGGCGCTTTTGAGTCGACTCAAAAGGTGGTTCTTGAGGCGCTTTTGAGTCGACTCAAAAGGTGGTTCTTGAGGCGCTTTTGAGTCGACTCAAAAGGTGGTTCTTGAGGCGCTTTTGAGTCGACTCAAAAGGTGGTTCTTGAGGCGCTTTTGAGTCGACTCAAAAGGTGGTTCTTGAGGCGCTTTTGAGTCGACTCAAAAGGTGGTTCTTGAGGCGCTTTTGAGTCGACTCAAAAGGTGGTTCTTGAGGCGCTTTTGAGTCGACTCAAAAGGTGGTTCTTGAGGCGCTTTTGAGTCGACTCAAAAGGTGGTTCTTGAGGCGCTTTTGAGTCGACTCAAAAGGTGGTTCTTGAGGCGCTTTTGAGTCGACTCAAAAGGTGGTTCTTGAGGCGCTTTTGAGTCGACTCAAAAGGTGGTTCTTGAGGCGCTTTTGAGTCGACTCAAAAGGTGGTTCTTGAGGCGCTTTTGAGTCGACTCAAAAGGTGGTTCTTGAGGCGCTTTTGAGTCGACTCAAAAGGTGGTTCTTGAGGCGCTTTTGAGTCGACTCAAAAGGTGGTTCTTGAGGCGCTTTTGAGTCGACTCAAAAGGTGGTTCTTGAGGCGCTTTTGAGTCGACTCAAAAGGTGGTTCTTGAGGTGCTTTTGAGTCGACTCAAAAGGTGGTTCTTGAGGCGCTTTTGAGTCGACTCAAAAGGTGGTTCTTGAGGCGCTTTTGAGTCGACTCAAACGGTGGTTCTTGAGGCGCTTTTGAGTCGACTCAAAAGGTGGTTCTTGAGGCGCTTTTGAGTCGACTCAAAAGGTGGTTCTTGAGGCGCTTTTGAGTCGACTCAAACGGTGGTTCTTGAGGCGCTTTTGAGTCGACTCAAAAGGTGGTTCTTGAGGCGCTTTTGAGTCGACTCAAAAGGTGGTTCTTGAGGCGCTTTTGAGTCGACTCAAAAGGTGGTTCTTGAGGCGCTTTTGAGTCGACTCAAAAGGTGGTTCTTGAGGCGCTTTTGAGTCGACTCAAAAGGTGGTTCTTGAGGCGCTTTTGAGTCGACTCAAAAGGTGGTTCTTGAGGCGCTTTTGAGTCGACTCAAAAGGTGGTTCTTGAGGCGCTTTTGAGTCGACTCAAAAGGTGGTTCTTGAGGCGCTTTTGAGTCGACTCAAAAGGTGGTTCTTGAGGCGCTTTTGAGTCGACTCAAAAGGTGGTTCTTGAGGCGCTTTTGAGTCGACTCAAAAGGTGGTTCTTGAGGCGCTTTTGAGTCGACTCAAAAGGTGGTTCTTGAGGCGCTTTTGAGTCGACTCAAAAGGTGGTTCTTGAGGCGCTTTTGAGTCGACTCAAAAGGTGGTTCTTGAGGCGCTTTTGAGTCGACTCAAAAGGTGGTTCTTGAGGCGCTTTTGAGTCGACTCAAAAGGTGGTTCTTGAGGCGCTTTTGAGTCGACTCAAAAGGTGGTTCTTGAGGCGCTTTTGAGTCGACTCAAAAGGTGGTTCTTGAGGCGCTTTTGAGTCGACTCAAAAGGTGGTTCTTGAGGCGCTTTTGAGTCGACTCAAAAGGTGGTTCTTGAGGCGCTTTTGAGTCGACTCAAACGGTGGTTCTTGAGGCGCTTTTGAGTCGACTCAAAAGGTGGTTCTTGAGGCGCTTTTGAGTCGACTCAAAAGGTTGTTCTTGAGGCGCTTTTGAGTCGACTCAAAAGGTGGTTCTTGAGGCGCTTTTGAGTCGACTCAAAAGGTGGTTCTTGAGGCGCTTTTGAGTCGACTCAAAAGGTGGTTCTTGAGGCGCTTTTTGAGTCGACTCAAAAGGTGGTTCTTGAGGCGCTTTTGAGTCGACTCAAAAGGTGGTTCTTGAGGCGCTTTTGAGTCGACTCAAAAGGTGGTTCTTGAGGCGCTTTTGAGTCGACTCAAAAGGTGGTTCTTGAGGCGCTTTTGAGTCGACTCAAAAGGTGGTTCTTGAGGCGCTTTTGAGTCGACTCAAAAGGTGGTTCTTGAGGCACTTTTGAGTCGACTCAAAAGGTGGTTCTTGAGGCGCTTTTGAGTCGACTCAAAAGGTGGTTCTTGAGGCGCTTTTGAGTCGACTCAAAAGGTGGTTCTTGAGGCGCTTTTGAGTCGACTCAAAAGGTGGTTCTTGAGGCGCTTTTGAGTCGACTCAAAAGGTGGTTCTTGAGGCGCTTTTGAGTCGACTCAAAAGGTGGTTCTTGAGGCGCTTTTGAGTCGACTCAAAAGGTGGTTCTTGAGGCGCTTTTGAGTCGACTCAAAAGGTGGTTCTTGAGGCGCTTTTGAGTCGACTCAAAAGGTGGTTCTTGAGGCGCTTTTGAGTCGACTCAAAAGGTGGTTCTTGAGGCGCTTTTGAGTCGACTCAAAAGGTGGTTCTTGAGGCGCTTTTGAGTCGACTCAAAAGGTGGTTCTTGAGGCGCTTTTGAGTCGACTCAAAAGGTGGTTCTTGAGGCGCTTTTGAGTCGACTCAAAAGGTGGTTCTTGAGGCGCTTTTGAGTCGACTCAAAAGGTGGTTCTTGAGGCGCTTTTGAGTCGACTCAAAAGGTGGTTCTTGAGGCGCTTTTGAGTCGACTCAAAAGGTGGTTCTTGAGGCGCTTTTGAGTCGACTCAAAAGGTGGTTCTTGAGGCGCTTTTGAGTCGACTCAAACGGTGGTTCTTGAGGCGCTTTTGAGTCGACTCAAAAGGTGGTTCTTGAGGCGCTTTTGAGTCGACTCAAAAGGTGGTTCTTGAGGCGCTTTTGAGTCGACTCAAAAGGTGGTTCTTGAGGCGCTTTTGAGTCGACTCAAAAGGTGGTTCTTGAGGCGCCTCAAAAACCAACTTGTGCCGCCTGCCTGCACAGCCGAAGTGGATCTCCACCCCTGCTGTAACCCACCCGCAGCAACATAGCACCATTCTTCTAAGCACAAGCACATGCCCCCTCTCGCTCGCGTGGAACCACGAGTGAAGCCGGTGCTGTTCTCAGCCACAACTCAATGACACTGCACGACAATGCTCCCCCACCCTACAGCACCACGTGCCCTCACAGCAGCACCATACCAAGCACAAGCACGAACACGTGCACATTCCCTCCCCTCACCTCGCCCCACCAGTGCCTGCAGTGCAGCAAACGCCGCCCGGTTCTCCGCCTCCTTTGCTGCTCCCGCTGGCAGCCCCATGAACCGCTCCCACGCCCACTCCTCCCCCTCCCGCTCCCTCTCATGCTCCTCCCCTGCCTCTCCTCCCTTCACCACCGCCACTCTCCCCTCTGCCAACGCCCCTGCTGCTGACCCAGGCAATGCCCCTACTGGTGCCGCTGGCCGAACCTGTCTGGGCACTTGAATGCGGACTTGAGACACAAAGAATGGGAAGAGGGCACTGGGGGGCCCGTTCGGCCAGCATGGGTTGTGCTGCACCGTGGGGTTTGCAGCTGTCTCGGCGCCCCCCCTGCCTACTCTTGCTTCTCTCTGCCTTCCTGCTTCTGTTCCTCCTGCTCCTCCTGCGTCTCCCACCCCTCCTGCCACCCCTGCTGCTTCGCCTGCCCGTGCTGCTTCTGCTGCCGCTGCTCCTACAGAGCGCTGCTGCTGCTGCACGTGGTGCGAATGGGATACGTGCAGAGCGGAGGGGAGAGCGTCGTACAGCCAGTGCGTGGCGAGGTTGACAGTGGAGTAGGCTGGAATGGGCAGGGCCCTTGCCTGCTGCCACTCCTGCACCTTCGACTTGACTGTCCCTGGGATGGGCTGGGGAGGGGAGGAGGAGGGGGATGTGGGAAAGGGAGGAGAGGGAGGATAGGGAGGAGGGGGTTAGCATGGTTTGGCATAGATTGGCATGGCATGGGGTAACATGGCATGGCATGGGGTAACATGGCATGGCATGGGGTAACATGGCATGGCATGGGGTAACATGGCATGGCATGGGGTAACATGGCATGGCATGGGGTAACATGGCATGGCATGGGGTAACATGGCATGGCATGGGGTAACATGGCATGGCATGGGGTAACATGGCATGGCATGGGGTAACATGGCATGGCATGGGGTAACATGGCATGGCATGGGGTAACATGACATGGCATGGGGTAACATGACATGGCATGGGGTAACATGGCATGGCATGGGGTAACATGGCATGGCATGGGGTAACATGGCATGGCATGGGGTAACATGACATGGCATGGGGTAACATGGCATGGCACTTTGATTGCTCTTGCTTCGCATGGTTTGGCATAGATTGGCATGGGGTAACATGGCATGGTATAGCGGCGGACTTTGAGGTGTCGCATGGTTTGAGGTGTCATTATGGGTGGAAGGTGGGGGGGAGAAGCCTCACAGGGGCAGAGTGCGTGACAGCAACACACACTAGCGGTATAACACCCATTCCCCCTCCTCCTCCTGACGCTGCTGCTTCTGTTGCTGATGGTGGAGCTGCTGGTGGTGGTGAAGCTGCTGCTGCTGCTGTTACTCCCCCACCCCCTCCTCCTCCTTCCACATCCCCTTGACTACTGTTACATGAACTATTGCTGTCACTGCTGCCACTGCTGCCACTGCTGCTGCCACCGCTACCACTGCTGCTACCACTACTACTACCACTATTGCTATCACTATTGCTACCGCTGCTACCACTGCTGCCGCCACCAATACTGCAGCCACTACCGCTGCCACTACTGCCGCCACTACTGCTGCTGCTAGTGGCACTACTCCCACTGCTGCCACTGCTGCCGCCACTACTGCCGCCACTACTGCCGCCATTGTTAGTGCCTCTAACTCTATCACTCATACCGTCCGCAATCGCTGCTTGCACCTGGTCGGTGGTCCAAATGGCATAGGCGTTCCCTGGAGTCAGGGTGAGGTTTATTGTAGTTGCACCGAAGGGAGTGGGGGGAGTGTGAATCTGCAGGGAAGGGGGGACGAGAGGGAGAAAGGGAGGAGAGAGGGAGAAAGGGGGGACAAAGGGGAGTGTGAGAGGGCGTGAGATTGAGAGTTGTTGACAGGGCATGTGCAGACGATGCTTGAGCAGAGCAGAGGGACAAGATGGCAGGGGGAAAAGGGAGAGAAGGGAGAGCAGGGAAAGCAGGGAGAGTACGGAAAGCAGGGAAAGCAGGGACAACAATGGGCAGTGCGAGAGCGCATACGGGATTGAACGAAGAAGCAGGAGGGACGGGTAAGGGCAGACGGGCAATAGACTGTGAGGCTGAGAAAGAGAGAGGCGAGAGGGTTAGAGAAGGCGGGAAGAGGGTGGTGGGGAGAAGGGGGCGGGGGTGAAGAGAGGAGGGGTCGAGAAGAGAGATGCTAAGCCATGGGCAGCAGAGGATCATACATCACACCTCCTTCGTCTCCCCCTGTTCCCCCTGCACTTGCTGCTGCTCCTGCCCCACCCCCTCCTTGGCCTGCTTGTCCTTTGCGTCAAGAATCTCCTCCAGAGACGATCCCGGCATGGGCACCAGCCCTGCCGCTGCAGCTGCTGCTGCTACCCGCTCCTGCCCCACGAGATCTGAGAGGTCACTGTCGTCGTCGTCGTCGTCGGATGCTGGGATAGAGCCGTCAACGTGAAAGGAGGACTGCAAGGAGGGGAGGAGGCGGGGCGAAGGGCAGTGGGAGGGAGGAGGGGAGGTGCGGAAACGGGAAGGGCGCGAGGGAAAGGCGTGCGGCGTGCGTGAGGAAGGTGCTTTCAGGCGGTCTTCCCGCCCCCATCAGGTGTGCTTCAATTTGAGTCGACTCACAACACATCGCTGTAATCGTGGTGCTCGGATGGTGGCATGGAGCCTTCAATGTGGAGCGAAGACCGCGGGACGGAGGAAAGAGAGAAAGAGGACGGAGGGAGGGCGGGCGAGAGGGGAGCGGGGTGTGAGCAAGAGTTACCAGGCATACCAGAGATTACCGCTATGCAGTCGAGCTTTTGAGGCACTCCATTAACGAAGCATCAGCACCCTTCCCTTCCCTTCTCTTCCCTTGCCTTCTCCCTTCCCTTCCCTTCCAACCCTTCCCTTCCCTTCTCCATTGTCTTTCCCTTCCCCCTTCCCCATTTCCCCTTTCCCCTTCTCCCCTTCTCCCCTTCCCTTTTCCCTTCCCCCTCCCCCCTCTAACCCCACGCACCTTACAAGCAGCCACCACGCTCTCAGCACCATGTCTCCTCGCCACCGCCACACACCGATCGAGGATGTGCGGCAGCACCATCGCATCCAACCCCGCATACTCCACCTGCGCTGCACTCAGCGGCCTTGCCTCCCAGTCGCTCATCTGCACGCGCGCGCTCATGCGCCGCCCAAACACGCTCCGCACCACCCCCTTCAGGCCCCCCTTGGGGGTGTCCTGGCCGGAGAGCGGCCAGAGGAGGGAGACGAGGGGTTGGAGGTCGAGAACGGGGTGGCAGGTGGAGATGGCTGGGAGGGCCGCGCGGTGGGAGCGGGCGAGGAGACGTAGGTCGTTGGCTGCACCGTAGGCTGGTAAGGGGGGGGGTGACAAGGGGGGGGGGAAGGAAAAGGAGAGGGAGGGGAAGGAGGGGGAGGGGGGGAGGGACGGAGGGGAAGGAAGGGGAGGGACGGAGGGGAAGGCAGGGGAGGGACGGAGGGGAGAATGGAAGAGCAATGGGAAGGGGGAGAAGAGAAGATGCTTTAGGGTGGGTGTGATGAAAGTGTCAGTCAGGTAGCAGCAAGACACATGTGTGAGTGTGATGCTCTTACCGAGCTTGAGGATGTGCGGTGAGGTGAAGACGTGGAGGAGAACGGAGTTGAGAGCGGTGGAGAGGGGTGGAGAGGCGGTGATGGTGATGAGATCGATGAGGAAGGCTTGGCGGCGCGTGGCTAGCTGTAGTATGGCCACCTGGGAGGAGTGAGAAGCGGCGAGAGGCGGTGAGAGGCGGTGAGAAGTGGTGAGAAGAGGGGTGAGGGGTTGCAAGGAAGAGAGAGCGGGTGAGAGGGAATGAGACAGGGTTAAGGGGGGTTGAGGCGGGGTGAGAGGGGGTGTGGGGGATACGAAGGGGGCGGGGCATGAAAAGAGGAAGCAGGAGCGGAGAAAGAGAGAAGGGAAGAATGGGCGAATTCGAGACGAAGCAACAGATAAAATAGTGCGGAGGTTTGGGAGAGAAAAAGAGGAGAGAAAGGAGGGAGGGAGGGGGAATGGATGGGAGGGGGGAGGGAACGAGGGAGGGAGAGTAGGCATTGGGCTTGCATGCAGAGCATCAAATGAGAACCCACGCCCTTCAGGAAAAGGGTAATGCTGCAAGTGGGGTCCCACGCCCTTCAGGCAAACCCCACCCTATCCTAATCATCCCCACACACCATCCCAGGTCCCCTTGACCCCCTCCCCCCCCACCCCACCTCCCCCACTCCCCCCACCCTTCTTTCCCATTTGCATTCTCCCTCCCCATTAACCCCCCCCTCCCCATCTCCCCCCATTCACTCCCCCCTCTCTTCCCCCTCTCCACCCACCCGTCTCCCACCTCTCTTCCCCCTTCTCCTCCTCCCTCCCCCCACCCACCATCAGCACACGCACCTTGTTGGCCTTGCCACCCTTCTGAGTCTTGGGTTTCCACTCACAGTCAAACCCCACCGCATCCACCCCATCCGCGCAAAGCACCTCCCTCATTCTCTCAAGACTCTCTGCACTAGCAACCATCATTATCGCTTCCCTCCTCCTCCTCTCCTCTTCCTCTTCCGCATCCTCCCCTCCCCTCTCCTCCTTGCTTATCTTCTCCCCCCCGCCTGCCTAGCAGCAAGTGATGCTTGAGGCTGTCGACTGTGGCAGGGGTTACAGTCGACAGAGGCTTCAGTGGTGCCCTCTGTCGACTGTAACCCCTGCCCCTCGTTGCTCCCCCACTGGAGCAGGTAGGGGAGTGAGAGGACAGGCGTTGGTGCCTCTGATGCCAACGCGCCTGGTGGGGCATGCGGGAGATTAAGGGGAGGGGGAGGGCGGAATGGGGAGGGGGGGGAGGAGTATGGGGGGAAATGGAGAGCGGAAGGGGAAGAAGGAAGGACAGGGAGGAGGGAAGGAGATTTTTGACACAGACCTACGCGCACACGCAGCCACCGGCGCGACGCGAGCACTTCCGCACCCCCTCATGCAACCCCCCATGCACGCACACACACACGCAATCCCCCAACCCACGCACACACGCACGCACGTCGCGCGCACACACATGCTGCCACTCTGCAGGGCAGGCGGCATGGGCACTGTGGCACGATGCAGTGGCTCTCCAGAGGTCTCAAAGCCACGTGCACCCGTGCCCATCATGCATTGCATTGCATCGCATCGCATCGCATTGCATGGAACAGATCGCGCTCTCACCTTGCACGGCAGGCGCACGGGCACATTGTGCTGGGCACAGAGGGACGATGCAAACTCCGCCTCGACTTTTGAGACGTCTCAAAAGGCGGCGCGCTCTCACTCACCTTGCACAGCAGGCGGCACGGGCACATTGTGCTGGGCGCAGAGGGACGATGCAAACTCCGCCTCGCCTGCCTCCACTGCCAGTTGCAACTGCAGCGGGGGTGGGAACGGGTGGGAAAAGGTGGGGAGAGGTGGGGAGGGACGGAGAGGGATGGGGAGGGACGGAGAGGGGTGGGGAGGGACGGAGGGGGATGTGGAGAGACGGGGAGGGGTGGGAAGGGATGGAGAGGGATGGGAAGGGACGAAGAGGGGTGGGAAGGGACGGAGAGGGGTGGGAAGGGTTCAGAAGAGGATGGGAAAGAGGGGGCCAGGGGATTGGGAATCGGTGGGGAGGGGAGAGGGTTGGAGAGACAAAGAGGGACAGTGATGAGGAGAGGGAGTTTGGTCGAGTGCGGTTTTACAGGACAGCTTTGGATTGGAGCGACTTATGAAAAAAATCCAAACAGGAAAGAAACGGGGAGAAGCCACGTGGACTTTAAAAATCTCTTACGAACAGAAGGTTTGCTGCCAGAGGTGAAACAGAGACAGGAGGGAAGAGACATAGCCTCATAGAAACACTAGGACGAGAACAAGGGGTGGTTGGGTGAGAGGAGGAAGGGTTTGTAGTCAATCCCACTACCATAACAGTCACACAGCAAAAGACATCTCATTGGTTCACATGAAGTGGCCGCTCTTCCCCCGTGTCCTTTTGTGCCCCCCAGCCCCCATGCCCCCATGCCCCCGTGCCCCCCTGCTAAGTGCCCTTGTTCCCCCGCACCTCCCTGATCCTGCGGCCCCGTGCCCGCATGCCCCCCCTGCCCCTCGTGCCCCAGTGGCCTCACGAGGTAGTTGAGCAGGTCTGGGTCGTCCCCCACGAGGCACTCCGCCACCTCCCACATGCACTTGTCCGCTAGCTTACGCAGCGAGCTGGTGAGTGGGTTAAAGGGCAGGAAGGAAGAGGGCGAGATGGCAAGAACGAGTTATGATGTGTGTATGACTGTTTGAAAGCTCCCTTGAGTTGACTCAGAAAGTAAGCAGCATGGCAAGAAGGCAAGAAAGAAGGGTACGAGAGGGCTTTAACATTGTAGGCGCCTCGCCTCAACAGCAGGGTTAGGAGGAGCTAGAGGCATTTGGAAACTCCTCCTCCATCTCGCACCAAAATTGAAGCGCCTCAAAATCATTTGACCTGTCAGACCCCAGACCCGCCCCCTCCCACTCACCTCTTCCTGTACTCGGTCCACGCGTTGGGAAACTCCTCCTTCATCTCGTACCGCACCACCACCTTACAGTTGCGCTCAAGCGCCTAAAAAACAGTAGACCTGTCAGACTCCAGACCCCCCTCCTTCGCTCACCTCTTCCTGTACTCGGTCCACGCGTTTGGAAACTCCTCCTTCATCTCGTACCGCACCACCACCTTACAGTTGCGCTCAAGCGCCTAAAAAACAGTAGACCTGTCAGACTCCAGACCCCCCTCCTTCGCTCACCTCTTCCTGTACTCGGTCCACGCGTTTGGAAACTCCTCCTTCATCTCGCACCGCACCACCACCTTATACGCCGCCTTGTACAGATCCCTCTCCATGCACGCGCGAATCAGCGCGCGACACGTGTCACTGCCGAGGTACTTGGCCCAATCAGCGGCGAGCTCCACCTGTCCCCTCTCCACCATATCAAGAAGAAACTCGCCCGATCTCCCCTCGCTCATGTGCAGCTGCTTCATCAAACCCACAGCTGCGGGGTACGCCTTGCGGGAGACGAGCAGACGGAGGTAGGCCCGTACCTCGGTTACAGCGGGTGAGGAGGAGGGAGAGGGGGTTTCGAGGGAGGCGGTTTCGAGAGAAGCAGGAGCGGCAGCAGCAGGATGCGCAGCAGCAGCAGGTTCGCCTGACTCTGCCCCTGCTCCTGCCGCTTCCCATGCACTTCCGTCCCCTTGTACCCCAGCTGGCGGCGACACCAAGCCCATGGAGGAGACATAGAGCTCTAAGTCTTGCAGAGACACGTTCGCCACGGCCAGCAGCCGCACCAGCACACGCGGCCGCAGGCTCGAGAAGTCCCATGCTGCTGCCACGCCCCTGCTGCTGCTGCCGCTGCCACTGCCACTGCCGTTGCTGCTGGTGCTGCTGGTGTCAATCAGGGAGTGAGATGACAGCACGTCAAGGAGAGCAGCTCCTGCAGCGGCAGCAGCAGCAGCAGTTGCCTCAGGGGAAGCGGCAGAAGGAGCACCAGTAGCAGCAGAAGCAGAAGGAGGAGGAGGAGCAGAAGACGCAGCAGCAGAGACTGCAGCATCCCCTGCAGTACCGTCTGCTGCTCTGCGCTTCTTTCCCTGCGACTCCTTGCCCAGTTTCTTCCCTCTGGCTTCTCGTTTCGCCTCCTGTGCACTCCTCATGGCACCCCAGAACATGCCGCACGCCAGCCGCTTCGCTATAACCTCATCTGATACCGCCCCAACCGCAATGCCCCCACCTGCTGCTGCCGCCGTTCCTGCTGCTGCTACTGCTGGTGCTGCTACTGCAGCTGCTGCTGCTACTGTTGTTGCTGCTGCTTCATCGGCTGCACCTGGTGCGTCTACCCCTTCCTTCTCTCCCATCGCTCCTTCCAGTGCCGCCAGCACCAGGTGCAGCAGCGTATCGCCGTGCGCCACGTGTCCCCCGCCCTCCTCGCTTCCCGAAGCCTGCAGCATGGAGAGCACACAGAGCATTCCGTATGTCAGAGGTCCCGGGTAGGCTATGCTGCTGCTGGTGGTGGTGGTGGTGGTGGTGCCGTTGCTGTTATTGTTGTTCGAGGGGATGGGAGGAGGTGGAGGAGGAGGGAAGGTGGAGGAGGAAAGGAGTTGCGCGAATTCCTTCCGCACGGCGTGGTAGCAAAAGCCGGGACGAGCGGAGTTGGCTGAACGGGGGAGAGAGGGTTTCAGGAGAGGCAAGGGGAAGGGAGAGAAACGACGGAAATGAAAGAAGGTTTTGAAGCGATTCATAAACTCAGAGGAAAAGGAAGGAATAACAGTTGTGAGCCGCCTCTCGCGAATTACACGTCTCTCGAGCCGGAAAGATGAAGCGATGAGGGGAGGCGGAGGAGGAGAGGTGGCAGTTTGACCAATGGGAGCTGTGCGTGAGCCGCACGGATCAGGGAGATGCTGCACGGAAGAGAGAGAGCAGAATAAAGAGGCAACAGCAGAATACGACCACACCAGACCAACCCACCAGCACACCAACACACCAGCACACCAGCAAAGATCACCACATTGCTCACTCCGCTCTAGCCTGTCGCGCTGTCACTCACCAGGCCTTTCATAATCGCCCAAAAGCGACTTCAATTGTTTTATAAATCTCTCAGAATTCCTTACAATGCAGTCCTCACCAACTGACCTACAGTCACCGCGTCACAACACCACACGGCACATTTCGACTCTCAAGAGCGCTCGCCAACTAATCTACCGCGTACGCCCGCGTACCACCCGAAGCGCACCAGCACTACTCCGCACCAGCGCTTGCCCCAGCAGGCGCACCATCTCCGCGGGACTCCGACGTGCGCTCTGCATTCCATGCCACTCAATTGATACGACCGCAATTCCCGAAAAATATACCACCGCACCACTCACTCTGCGCCAGCGCCTGTCCCAAACAACACCACCACTCACTCTGCACCAGCGCTTCGCCCAGCAGGCGAACCATCTCCGCGGGATCCACGCTCGCAAGCGCGTCGACGCGCAGGCGGCGGCCCGCATTGCGCTCGCGATCCTGATCGCCGGACATGGCGGAGGAGACGCGCGGGAGCAGCGCGGGGAAGAAACAGCGGTGCACTTAAGCTAAAAACGGGGATATACTGTAGGAGCGGATCTGGGATGGTTTGGAAGAATGGATGGAGGTGGGGGGAAATGGAAAGGGAGAAATGCGTGTCGGCAATTTTGAGGAGAGGGGGTATGGGTCGGGTGTGTTCTACACTTCGTCGCATTGTGCCGCACTGAACCGTTATTTCGGAACTGGTAGGAGGGCGGGTGTGGGGGTAGGGTGTGGGGGTGTTCGCGTACGCGTTTGCAGACGACTTTCGTTTCCTTGGTCTTGCACCAGTTCCCTCTCGCACACTATTACTCGTATTGTTTGCACCCTTCACAATTTGTCAAATGGGCAAATTTCAAGCATCCCAATGCATGTTTCAACATCATCCAGCACGTTATTATTCGGTTGGCACCATTCTTAAAGAAAAACATACATGCCAGCACCTGCACCTTACCAGACCTATCATTCAGAGCCGTGCCTCGTTTTCACACAAAAAAAATCTCTTGCTACATTTTCCTCATGCTAACTGAGTGCAACACTACATCCATCCAATGATCCAATCTTCAAAGCTCGTACATATCCTCTATTCCCTCTTTCAGTGCATCTGTTCACCCATCATCACCTGGAAGTCAAGCAAGACAGATGAATCGAGTCGCTACACCTCCCAGTGATGCACCGCCACGCAATCCCGCTCCCACTCCCCCGACACACGGAGCACATAAAAGACGGATGCCGCAGCAACCGCACCCGGTGGTTGGGCCGCCTCGGATCAAAAGACTCTACCCCCGCCACCACCATCTCTAAGCTCCGGATCTCAGCTAAAAGCCGTTCCGATTGGTCCCGCAACTCGTCATTTGCGGATTGTAGCTCTTGCGCGCGCAGCTGGGAGAGCTCGTAGGTTTTGAGGGTTTCCTGTAGCTGCTGCGCGTGCTCCTTGTGCTTCCTCTCCTGCTCCTTGCAGCTCTCCAGCTGTGCCAGCACGGATTGCATATCCCCCTCTGATGACTCTGATGCCATGGCAAGCTGTGGGTGTGAAACACAAGGCGGGGTGAGGTGTGGTGGGGAAAGAGGAGGGCTATTGAGGCATCTCTGGATTGCATATCCCCTTCTGATGATTCTGATGCCATGGCCAGCTGTGGGGTGAGGGAAGGGGGTGGTGGGGTTTGTGCATGGTGGGGAAAGAGAGGAGGGGGTGGGGAGGGGAGGAGGGAAGAGGGGAGCACATGGGAACAGGCAAGGGAGGTGATGCTGAGGAGTTGTGAGGGTATTTTTGCTAGTCGGACTCAAGTTACCGGTTGTGTGAGTCAGCTCTGCTCGGTGCGCCACGGATGAACCACAATCCCTCCCTGCCACTACCCACCCCACAAGACTTCCCATCCACTGCAGCCTCTAGCCCTGAGACGTCTCAGCACATTCGCGACGTCTCAAAGACATGAATGAACCTGAAATTCTCCCCGCTACTCACCTCACGGGACTTGCCATCCACTGTGGCCTCCAGCTCTGCCACTCTCCTCTGCAGCGCTTCCACCTCCTCCCTGCCCTGCCCTGCACCTGCACCTGCGCTGCTCGCCACAATGGGCTCTGGTGTGCCCTGCACGTAGGAGGGACGAGGGGATGGGTTGGGTTGCAGTTTCAGATGACTCGAACGAGGTGACCGTTGGGCCGATGAACAAGCCTGGTCCCCCCTGCATGTGGGAGGGGCGTGCGAATGAGTTGGCGGTGAGAGAAGGAGCGGAGGGGAGGGTATGGTGGAGGGAGGGGGAGAGGGGGGGGTGGGCATTGGGGGATTGGTGGGGCTGTTGTAAATGGTACAAAGAGAGGTGCGGAAGCGAGGATTAACTAGGAAAGAAAGGATGATGCTAGCGAAGGTGTTTGACTCATAGTGGGTGGCACATGGTGGGTGGCACATGGTGGGTAAGAGTCATACCATGGCTGCCTTGGCATGCTCCATGTCCCTCTCATGGCTTGCCTTCATCACTTCCTGCTCAAGCACACATGCACGTGCACCCACATGCACATCCCACACACATGCACGTGCACCCACATGCACATCTCACACACATGCACGTGCACCCACATGCGCATCCCACACACATGCACGTGCACCCACATGCACATCCCACACACATGCACGTGCACCCACATGCACATCCCACACACATGCACATCCCACACACATGCACATCCCACACACACATGCACATCCCACACACATGCATATCCCACACACATGCACATCCCACACACACATGCACATCCCACACACATGCACATCCCACACACATGCACATCCCACACACGTGCACATCCCACACACGTGCACATCCCACACACATTGCACATGCACATGACCCGTGCCAGGGAGGAGAAACTCTCAACCATGTGAACCAACCACCCATCCACCAAAAGCGTACAAGCGTGGCATGCGAGTACGGGCATAAACCGGCAAGGAAGGTGCGGCATGGTGCTGCGAGATCAAGAAGTTGCAAAAAAAGCGGTTGGAAAGGGGAGTGAGATGGAGGTTGCATAGAGTAGTACGCCCCATGAAATGATAGCAAAGGTGGGGTGCATCATGAAGTGGAAAATAGGTGGCATTTCCTTGCACTGAGCACTGCATGTAACCCCCCAGCCACATGCAACCCCATTGACCACACGGAACCCCATTGAGCACAAGCAACCCCGTTGAGCACATGCGAGTCACTGACCATTTGATCTAGCAGTTGACGGAGCTCTGCCTCGTGTGCTGCCTTGCACGCATCCTGCATGCAGCAGCAGCCATCACAATCAATCACGGCTTTATGCTGAGAGAAGAGGGTTGAGGGTTGCGGGCTGAGGTTTGAATGGGTTGCAGGTTGCAGGTTGAGGGTGGTCACTTGCATGTGAAGACACAGAAAGACACAGTGACATGGGCAGAGCGGCAGCAGGGCATGTGCTCTCACCAGCTGATCTTTAAGGTGCTGCAGATCCGCCCCCTGCGATGCTGCCTCTGCTGCCTGCCGTGGTGGACCCATGCGAGGGAAAGTAAAGGGGGAGGGGAGGATAGGGCAACACAAGCTTGAGATGCTGCAGATCCGCAACCTGAGATGCTGCTTCTGCTGCCTGCCGTGGTGCACGCAAAACGGCAGACTGGCGGAGAGGCAAGGTGGAGCGGAGGGATTGTTAGGACAATGCAAGTTTGACAGGAGGAAGGGAGCGAGGATTAGGTAACAGGTGATGCAGCACACATTTATTGGGAATCCAAAGCCCAACGTATCGACCGGGTGGTTCTTTTCTGTGTGTGAAGTGAAGCACAAACTGGACTCTTGACTTGCATGCACAGACGCATGCACAGACACATGCACAGACGCATGCACAGACGCA